GCCTGTTTGATTTGGCTAAGGATTTCTATTTACTCACTTTGTGTGTTTGCGTCACTAAATTTTGTTTCCGCTTTTGTCCGGACCAGCCTTTTTAGATCGAAAACGCTTTCCAAAATGCCTTTTACATGTGTGAGTTCCACTAGCATCCGTGCCCTTTGCATATGTGGCATGTACGGTTGAATAAATGCAGGTTTTCATATTACACGATCGCAATTGCTGACTGATTCGTCGACAGCGGTCTGTTGATTTTTTACTCAGAAAATCTTCCAGTCATCAAGGGCAATCCCATCTTCGAAAATACCTACGCATTAAAGTGAATTTCCGTTTATTTTCAATTTTACCCAGCAAGGTAAATCAATAAGTGGGGAATAAAAACACCTTTTCTCTTACAGGAAACACTTTTAAATATATTTAAAGAAATGTGGAAAAACTGTCGCGTTTTCTAAGTTGATTTGAGCATACATGTTTTCTTCTAATTGTACCCTTTTAAAGCTGAAATTTTTAGCATGTTGAAGAAACATCAAGGGAAAATACTTTTTTGAAGTGTTCAATAGTTCAATAGCGCTCTATAAAAGGCATGGTAATTTATTTGTGGCTTTTGTGAGACAACGGGGAAAATGAATACTGCTCAGGCAATTATTTTACCGATAAAGTATCTCGCATATGGGTCAGTGAATTCAGTTAAAAGACTATACGAAAAGATCTAGGCCTTTGGATCCTCTTGTGCTCAGATGCTATGGTCAGCGAAAAGGAAGCAATTTTCATTTGGTTTACTGACAGACGAACATGCAGACGATGAATACTGCTTAATTTCTCAACAATGCCTGTGGGCTGAGCTATGACCATTGGGACTTTTTCTCGAAGTCCTGCGAATATGTTGGTTGATCGTGATTGCCGAATTATTCATATACAGTAGATGTGCTAACTAATGAAATGTCAACCAAAATTTTGAAATGCGTTCTCCTTTCAAAAAGATAAATTAAGTAGTGTTGTAACACTAATCATGATGCAGCATAAATCTATAATGATCCAGTTACCTCAGGGTGTCGGCTTTCGAATGAACTTATTTTCGGCTGCATGCAAGGTCTATACTCTGCAAAAATTGACAACTTAATTAGCATGCAATTTTCTCATTGATTTTCGATGCCCTTGAAAATTCAATTATATTTCATGGAAACCATGCATAGAAATATTCATTCGTTTACTTGTTCGGTAGAAAATCACGTCTTCTTCCAATTTCATACTCAAAAGAAGAGTATAATTCGGTTTTAAAAAAGTTTCTAATTGGGAGATTTTTTAATACCATTAAATGGCCGTCCATGAAACGTCATGTATCTGCATTTACGAATGTGGCTTGTAAAGTTAACAATATTGCTCAAATCCACTGCTTAATTTTATGAACCTCATATGGTCTCCTCTTAACACCTCAGAGGAATGCATGGTTTTCCGTACACGGAAAATATACAGCTTGTAGTTTTGAAACCCTGAATGCAAGTGTAACAGCAGGTCGGGTTCAAAATTATTCGGGAATTAGAAAAGTTTTTTAAAACCAAATTATTCTTTTCTTTTGAGTATTAACTAGGAAGAAGGCGTGCTTTTCTACCGAATAAGTAAACGAATGAATATTTGTATGCATGTTTTCTATGAAATATAATTGAATTTTCAAGGGCATCGAAAATCGATGAGAAAATTGCATGCTAATTAAGTTGTCAATTTTTGCAGAGTATAGACCTTGCATGCAGCCGAAAATAAGTTCATTCGAAAGCCGACACCCTGAGGTAACTGGATCATTATATATTTATGCTGCATCATGATTAGTGTTACAACACTACTTAATTTATCTTTTTGAAAGGAGAACGCATTTCGAAATTTTGGTTGACATTTCATGAGTTAGCACATCTACTGTATGTGCTCAAATATACCAGAAATCATAAATGTCTACTCACTGCAAATAAGAAACTTGACCAGGTTCTTCCAATTACCATGACCATCGGGCTTTCCACTAGTTACTTTTTCTGCGTTACATATCTGATCAAAATAACTACGTAACATAAGCTTCATTTTCACGTAATAGTTACATGAGATTCGAGCAACCGTCATCGAAGTGGGAGACTGCGGTTTCAGATCCTATGAGACTTTTTAATATTTACTGTGTGTAGTTGTGACTTCTTGACTTGAGCGCGTTAGCTTGAGGCATGTTTCTAAATATAAGCGTTAATGTACAAATCGAGGTTTTTTGATTCCGCCGAGCACCTAGTTTACGCGAACGATTTTCGAAGTAGGGGATAAACTCCTCCTATGAAATATAAACATATATCAGCGCCCCCTCAGGAAACTGAATGAAAAGCATTTCGGAAGCCTTACATATAATTTTAACCATAATCGTTACCTTGAAACATTATTTTTCATCGAGATTTCAAAAAAATGTTGCTGAATTCTAAATTTTCGTCTGCAGCAGAACCCATTGAAATGGAAACTAATCATGAAATCACTTTTTCAGCTGCCTATGTATGACACATTTACTTTTAAGTAAACGACGATAAACGATCTAGACTAAGAAAAATTGGAAAAGACATAACAAACAGTTACACAGCAACAACATTGAACATTTTCTTATTCTATTGGGTTTGCATCCGGCAAGAATAGACAAACGCCTCGAAAGAGACAACGGCTCGCATTATAAATAAACATAGCAAAACTAGTTAAAGCCCATGTTCGACTCAGGATACGTGTTCGGGTTTCGTTTCCTTTTAAGAAAATAAACAAAAGCAGTTTAGTCAACTATGCTTGACATCTTTGAGCGAAATTCGTTTAAACACAGCACTCGTTTAAGTTCTTTTTGTATGATGACCTCTCCCAACACTCTTGATAGGAGGACAAGAAATTAGTAACTGACTCACATCTTTTCAAAAATGCTCACTCCTCTCCTGGCTCTTCCTTTTATTTGCCGGACTTTACCACTATTCAGCAAAAATATTGTATGTATTTTAAACCATATGATACTGGACTCGCTTTTCGATTTGTTAACACTCTCCCGCCCGAGTTGCTAAAAGTTTTGACATGGTTGCGGAACCTACCATGCACAGAGAAATAGTGGCTTCACATATCAAAATGAAGATTTACCAGCGTCTTATGGCTTTTCTGATTAAATATTTCTTGATCATTT